AGGCAGCCGAGCCCAGCCAGCAGGGCCCCTGGCTTTGCGATTCTTCTGCCCCCTTGCTGGAAGAAGAACACATCTGAGGGTGTTCCTCGGCCCGCATGTGTAGAGAATGTAGGCTGCAGCGCCGCATTGTACATCACAGCCTTCCCTTCAAAGCCAAGGACCACGCCGTGATCCGAGCCCAGGTGAGGGCTTCAAGGAGGAGTCTCTGTATGGGCTTCGCAGAACTGGTGAAGTTTTGAAGTTTTGTTTAGGCAAGATGCTTCTGGGTCCCAGTCCAAGCGGCGGTCCAAGCTCTGCCGGAGACTTGAAGCCTTGCATGGCCACACCAGCCTCTATTCAATTCAAAATCTCCACCAGCATGCCTTGATCGTCGCAAGGCTTGCAGGACGGATTCTCCGGCCAGGAGAGCAAGACCTCCGATTCCTGACAGGCTCAAGCAGTGCTCTTTGCAAAATGCGAGGGTTTCTTGAGTGGGATTGTTTGTGTTCTGCTTGAGGCCTAGAGCCTGCGTTCATGCGGGGTTTCGGCTTGGGTGTAGGGTTTAGAGTACAGGTTAGGGTTCGTCAAAACAGGAGCACGCGTTACGTTATAGGGTTTATGGCTTGCGTAGCGCTCGGCCCTCTCTGGTCTCATTCCTCTGGCCGCCCCCAGCAGCACCCCACCCTCCAGTTGCAGCTCCCGACCCCTTTCCGCACACGCCAGCCCACGCGCCAAAATGAGACACGTAGCCCCCGTACTTCAGGACTCGTTGGAGAATGTACCCAAGAGGTTGCGTTTGTCAGATAATTGCCATTCTTTTTGTTGTGGATGCTTCTTGCGTTACCGAGTTGACGTTGCCGCTGCATTTCTTAACCAACTATGTCTTAGTACTCTGGCTGCACTTTTATACTTCTCTCTCTTATCCTTCCCCTGTATATTTTCACATATGCATACATATATATATATATATATGTGTATACATTTATACATATACATATACATATACATATACATTTAGCTGTATGTATGTATATGTATATGTTTTTGTAGATATATATATATATATATACACATACATACAGAAAATAATTTCGATGGATGGAACCGTGTGGACGTCAGTTTTGCACGGGTTTGTGTCTTTAGGCATGGTTGTGTTGTGTTTACCCCAGAAAAGCACGTGTTTGACTCGAAAAACATGGGCCTGCAGTCCGTTACACCCTCTCTCTCTCTCTCTCTCTATATATATATATATATATATTTAGTATAAAGTGTGCACAGTTTCATGTATCAATGTCTGTTTTGTATCGATGTCTATAGAGAAGTAGTCAAAGGACATGTAAGTGTGTATAATTTTCGCTTGCATGTTTTGAGTGGTTGTCCCTCGCATCCTGTAGATTTCTCTTACTTCGTGGGGGTTCATCAGAACATGTGTCGGAGTTTGCTCATTTTTGACATGTGTCTGGATATTTTGGAAGCATCTGTGATTTTGAGTGGTTCAATTGTCCCATCTCTTGTTTGTTTGTTATTGGTGTTTCTTGGTTTTGAAACAATTTCCCGAATGTCGGCGGAGGTTTCGGATAGCACCAAAGAGACTACCATCTGGCAAACCACCAAAAAGTAATAATGTTTCCGCGGCTTCGGATGACATGACCGGACGCATTGCGCAGGCTCAAAGTTCCCCCACCTGGGACAGGCAACGGAAGGCACACACGCGGGTCTTGTGAAGGCCAGGGAGTGCCGGACGAAGTCGGCATGGAACCGAAGGTCCGCATCTCAGACCAAGACAGAAAGAGCATGCATCTGTTGTTCAACATAATCCAACATCCAACATGCGTAGCGGCTGCAGCCCGTTGACCAGGCGTTGCCAAAGCTGCTGGCACTCGGCTGCGGTCCCAGACATGAAGCATTCTCGAAGTAGTGCCACGAGACATCGAGGGTGGAGAGGGTTCTAGCCTCGCTAAAATCTGGCAATGACGCTCACACTGTCTGAGGCCACGAACTGGCCAACTTGATTAATTTTCGTCGTGTATTTCTAATTCAAGACACTGTTGATTGAAAACTCACAAGATACTTGTTTCGAGCACTAAGCCACATGAATATTAACTAAGCCATCCGAAAATGCTGCAACGGCTAAGCCGCACCAAAGAAGGACATCCGATGGGCTAGCCACCCCGGTGTCGATTCACGGAAGGAAGGACCAGGAGTTTGTAGAATGTTGCAACTTGGCCCAAGGCCCAATGTGAACACCCCCACTCAAGGACGAAAAGGCCATATCCAAAGCTCCTGTGCCAAGCAGGTCCATGCCCACGGTTTGAGACCCTTCCAGTGTCTTCAAATCTTTGCAGAGCATCCTCGGAAAGCAGCCAGCAGAATTGAAAGCAAATCCGTCTCGGAAAGCTTTGTCGGAGTTTGCTGTCCAAGGTGGAGAAAGACTGGGCTGGGCGACCGCACCCAGAAGCAGGCTGCTTCACACAGACCAAACGGAGTATAGCAAGCCCAGCAGCCTGGCAGGAGTCTGAGCCCAATGACACGGATCCCATGCGGCCCGGCATTCTCGGTTGCTGTTGGCTGAGATTGTGCTTGTGCTGGGCCCCGGCGCAGAGGTTGCCTGCTGGTCTTGAGACTTCCAGCATCGCCTCTGTCGCGTCTGACTCTGGAGCCGTTTGTCGGGAACTCTAAACACAAATCGTGGCGAATGCAAGATGTTCACGGTCAGAGCTGCCAGGCCAACACAGCCTGGTCTCCGTTGGAACCGGCGTTGAGGACTGGATTTCCTGCGTTGTTGGACGAAATGTGCATTGGACAGCGCATCTAGCTCTGCAAGCTGTGCAGGACAGTGTGTGTGGCGAGGCAGCCACCTCTGCTGGACAAGAAGATGAGGTGACCCAACGCGGCCGTGCAAGTCTGAATTCGAATGTCCCTGGTATCACATTTCAGGTTCAGCGCCTCCGACATATGGCGCAGATCTCAGCTTGCCTTGGCGCTGTGCCCGAAAAACATACCACGGAGAGAAAAGTGGGTTGGATGTTTGCAGGTGCAAGCACCTGAAGACAAACAAACGCCGCCTTTCGAAGAACTGAACGGAACAGGAGGTGTCCGTCTGTCTGTCTGTCTGTCTGTCTGACGTTCTGCATCTACACCAAACTTTTCCTGCCCCATTGAATCAACTGTGCCTGAGGTGTCGTCCCAGCAGCAGAGGACATGCTTCGCTGAGAGCTGTGTGCGTCTTGCGATTCGAACGAGCATGTGTGTCATGTCGGCAGCGAGAATCTGTGATGCCTAGTCGGCTCTCTATGGAAGATCCTTATGCAGCCTTACTAGAAGACTGCGTGTTTGCGCCTCTGTCGCCACCGCTGTGGCAACCTCATGCTTCTGAAAGAGCTTTGTGCGTACATGTGTGTCTGTGTGTGTGTGTGTGTGTGTGTGTCTGTGTGTTTGCGCATGACGAGTCTTATGCGCACTGTCGAGCGATCATTTCGCAGATGCCAAGGGCCATGGAGTGCACATCGTTGCAAGACAGGCGCCAAACTTCAAGTTTCTTGCTGTCCGGCGTCGGCGTGAAAAGAGATTTCAGAGCTCTCTCGAAGCTGAGAGGATCCTTTCCACGCCCAAGCGCCAACTCGAGACTGACGAGTGCAACGCCGCTTTCCAGCAGTGCCTTGACGAAGGTGCGCGCGCAGGGAGGACCACTACACTTTAGCTCCTTTATGCGTCGGGAGCGAAGCCGTCAGGAGACTTCGGCGACGACGGCCGCAAATTCCAACACACTTGTGGTTTGCACAGCCCTGCTGATGCCTTAGTTCGTGGTGGCCGATCTGTCACCGTTAGATTTGAGGATGGTCTCCGTAACAACCTTACAACCTTATGACGTCTGACCCTGACAGCTGCAGTGCGAGACAGAGAGAGAGAGAGAGAGAGAGAGGGCCAGAGCTACCGCGGCTACTGTAAGCGATTGAGGGCACACGTGAAGCTTAGCTTGGCTACTTATGGTCCAATGTTCCTGCATGTTCCTTTTCTGCAGCGAGGAATGCTGTCTTAGCCGCTCGTGCGACAGTGTATTTTCGGGTGTAGGCAGGAGATTGCTTGGAGATGCTGGGTGAACTCCTCGGGATGCTGATCTGCACGGTGTTCAAGGTTCCCATCGACTTGAGCACATTCATGCTCACGACCTGCTGGGAGGGGTGGGCGTTTCGCGCACCCCTTCAGCACCCTTCAATGACGGGCTTGGGAACGTCATGAAACGTTATTACTTCATTCTGGGTGTCTGCTCGCAGACTCCCAGCCTCAAGTAATTCGTGTGTCGTGCTGTCGGAAGGCTGTCTTGCCGTTCCTGACTCCTGCGTGTGGTTCCCGCCCTGTCGTTTCGCAGTTCTTTTGTGGCATGGAGCGCGGTGTCTTGGCGGAGCCGTAGAGCGAACATGTTGTCTGGGCGTGTGTCGTGCTACCGCTGCTACCGAGAACGCTGCGCCCTCGCAGCTGTCTGTTCGAGCAAAGTCGCAGAACGGTGGTGGGGGGCCACGCCCCCCAAATGTTGGCAATCTCAATCCTTGCCCGGGCCGAACCCTGGAAAAAAGATGAGCTTGGGGCATGAAACCCCAGAGGCTCTGTCAGGGGGGCATGTGGGGGCCTACCCACAGGGCACCGACAAGGCAGATGAGTTTACACGGTATGAACGTATAGCTTCGAAGACTGTGGTCGGAAGTTGTCCATGCTCATATGTAGTTGCAGGTTTAGCGCCACATCCAGGGTCATAAATGAATTGGAACAGCCTTGTGCACAACTTTTCTCGTACAACATTTCCATAGCATCCATGCTGCTCACAGTGGCACCAGATTACCGCAGTGTCGCTGTCCTTCTGTGCGACGATAATCAGACTATGAAGAGTCGGTCAAGCATGTTTGCTCGTTGGGGGTGTGCAACCGAGTACAGGAGACAAGTGCGGTTGTTTCCGCATGAGGGGATCATTCAGAGTGCAATTAGCGAGCGGGAGCTCGCGGCAGACAGTAGTAAGTCATGTGCCTGCCGACATGGGGCCGAAGCAGGTGTTGCCGTGCTTCAGCGTGGGCGCTTTGAGCACAACAGAGGCCGGGCCGCTCATCATGACATTGGCCATAACTGGCAGTATCTGGCGGTCTCATCTTTTGGCTTGCCATGTCTAAGAGGAGCTGTGGATAGCTGTGGCGGGTCGCGGAAGGCTGTTGGATACGTGCTGACGACATTAGTCTCGCGATCAGGTTGGAAATCTATGTTCGGCTGTGAGAACAAATCCCCGAGCCTTTGACGAGTGGCTGGCACTGATCAAGCAAGCTGCCGCCCCAGACTGTTGCACAGCATCGCAAGGCTTTCATGCGCTACGCGGACGAAACCGGACATGTTGCCGCTGTCAAGCCGTGTGAATGCCTGCACAGGTTGAGACCCATGGGTCAGTTGAGGAGAGACTAAGTTTGCAAGACTCTTACACACTCAGCGTAGTTATTGCTTTTGCTGCGGCAGTGTTCTGCATGCCACTGAGGTATGAAGCCTTCCTCACAGAGTTTCCGCTGTGTTGGGGCTACTGGAAGAGGTTTCTGCACTGCGTTCGTAGTGCGCGACCTAGCGTCGTCGCCAGTCACAGGTTGGCTGAACTGGTCAAAAAGCGCCGACTCCTCAGAGCGCCAGGAGTCTCCAAGTGCTACCGGTCGAGTCTAGTCTAGAGTCGGACCATCCGTGTCTTGGCTTGGAAACTGATAAACTGGAAGGCACCGTCATGAAAGATATTCATTGACCACCAAGCTTTGTCGAAAGACGCATACAGATTCAGATGCAGTCTACTCCATCACAAACTAGCACCTTTGTTTTCATGCCGGAGCACAATGCAAGCGGGCTGATGGCACCGCGGATGGCGAATTCAGCGCCGTGACTTCGTGCTTCATATGGAGGGCCATCTGGAGGCGTGCTCTTGCAGCGCAATCTGTGGCTGCTTTCACCGCCGATGGCGGCAAGAAAATTCAAGTCGTTCTAAAGCCAGGACCCACTTCTGCAGGGCACCCCCCCCCCGTTTTCGTTGCAGAGAGGTATCGCCAGGCCGCTCGACCAGCAGCACGGCACCCTTTCCTCATCGTGATGGAGGTCTTCTGCAGGCAGAGCTCCCACTGCTGAACACGTGTAGCGAGCATGGAGCAGTCGACAGGGACACGGGCTTGGTGAAGCTTGGTAAGCTTGCAACTGCTTGCAGGATTCAGCAACGTTTCCCGAGATGAAGGACTTGGCCAGAGCAAGCGCATGTGGACATATGGATCATTAAGTCGCAGTACACTCGTGACAGACGCCCACACTCGTTTCTATGGAAGTACAAAATATGTGAGGTCTCGAAACGAGCAGTATTTCATGCATAGTAGATGTTCACCACGTCGATCTGGCTTGGAGATCTTGGACACTGACCTCCAGAGACCCCGGCAGTGGACTCCAGCGCTCTGACAGCTCTTGGGCCCAGAGCGAGAGCTCGACCATCAGCACAACGCAAGGCAATGCATGCCGTGATCGTCGGAACAGCTGCGCGAAACCTTTCTGTCCCAACTTGTAACAGTGTTTTACAAGCTTTCCTCTGCCCACGATCAAGGTGCGGCAAGGCTTTCGTGCCCCCAATCGCAAGGCTTTCGTGCCCCCAGTCGCCCCTTCCACCAGAGCCGCAATGAGCTGCCGCAATGTGCCCTGCGTTCAACAGGCACAACCTGACAAAGATGCGCCGTTGTTTACGATGCACCGTCCAGCACCTTGCGTCGATCTGGATGTTTTGCGGAAAATCCCAACACGTGCAGCCTAAGCATCTCTCTTCATCCGGAACCAATAGCACTTGAAGCTGACCGACCTACATGCGAGGATGAGGACGAACCTCAGCCGGGTGTCGTCTTGAAGCTGGCCGAGGCTAGCACACCGGGTAACATGCGTGCACACATACATACATACATACATATGTACATACGTACATAAATACAGAAATACATACATACATGCATACATGCATACATAGATAGATAGATAGATAGCGCGCTGCCTTTTTTCAGAAACACACGGGATGTTCACGACCCATGTTTCATAAACATGGAACAGTTTTTCAGAGATATAGTGCATATCTTGCAACTTGTTTTAAAGCATGTCCAGGCTTGGTGTACGCATGGGGTTCAGGGCTTAGGCCACATGCATTTCCCGGCTTGGTCATGCTGCATGGGGTTTAGGGCTTAGGGTTCAGGGCCAATATGCATCTCCATGCTGGATATACATGCCTGGGGTTTAAGGTTTAGGGCCCAATTTAGGGCCCATGCTGACGTTGGGCCCGATTTTTCGCGATTTTTTCGGTAGTTTTTCGGACGACTTTCGGCGTTTTACATGTCCGCAAACTCGCGCGCTTTTTTCTGAAATATCCTACAGGTATCTGGAAGTTCCGTTTCACATTTCGTGCACGTTTGCTGAAAGCGGGGTTTCATGCGTTGAGCATGGTTTCTGAAACATCCCGTCACCCTGCATACATACATACATAAGTACAGATATACGTGCGTATATACATACATACATGCATACATACATACATGCATACTGCATGCATGCATACATACACTCTGACTGTTATATACTTGCATGCATACATGCATTTATGCCTACATTGACATGTTTACAAGCATACATATGCATACATGTACATACATGCATCCATGTATGTGTAACTTCATATATGCATGTGTGCATAATTGCATGCAGACATGTACAGATGTGTATACCAATACACGGTATATGCATGTCAGTTACATCTGTGAGATCCTGTGAACATAGCATAAACATATGTATACACTGTATGTATGTATGTATGTATGTATGTATGTATGTATGTATGTATGTATGTGTATATATAAGTGTATATATGGATATATATATATATACACATATACACACAGATGTATATGTGTACGTGTATGAGCCCGACACCTCTAGGTTCTGTTTAGCCAGCTTTTGATATGTAGAGTTTAGAAGCTTAGGTACACCACGTGATAAGGCATATCGGCCGAAAAGTTTTGACCTTCGTGTTCCCCTCTTTCTGTCTGTCTGCCCCTCCCTCCCTCTCCCTTTCTGTCTCTGTCAGTCTCCGTCTCTCTCTTTCTCTCTCTGTCTCCCTCTCTTTCTCTCTGTGTTTCTTTCTCTGCCTCTCTCTGTCTCTGTCTCTCTGTGGGGCTCTGTCTTGTCAGATGCAAATCTCGCGCATATCATTCTTGTCGTCTTTGCATGTCTTTGCATCGTACCCGCATATTCCGCAAGTATTCTCTGCATGTCACCGCCTCGGTTGCGCGGCAGGTGACGGGCTGTGATCTCGACACCTGTTGTGCTGCCCTCGTTGCATGCCAGAGCCTCACCCGTCGCAGATGCGGCACGCGTGGCCACAACACAACCTCAGATCCTTGCCTTGCCAAGGCGATAACAACTTCCATGCAGCCCTGGACCAGCTGCGCAGCGTTCCCGGTGCTGAGGCTGGAGAGTCGCTTGCTGCTCTAGACGCCAGTGCAAGCACCGTGCAACTTCACTTTTCTAACGGCAGCTACAAGTCCACCAATGCTCTGACATGGAGTAAGCAATGTGCCATCAATGGAATTTGCTTGAGTTGCTGCACATCAGCTAATAGATGGAGGAGTTAACGTGCCTGAAGGGAGAAGCCCGGAAATTGGTTGTATCCATCCTGACGCAACATCGCACGTGTTGAAGAAGAAATGCTAAACCTGAGCAAGAGACTGCGATAAACGGGTCCTTGGCAAAGGACAAAAGGCATCAACACGTAACAGCGTGACAAAGTTCAATCGAGCTTCGCCATGCAAGTGTAAAAAGGTTTCTCGCGCGAACTTCGGGAATCTTCGGGAGACCGATGTCCGAAACTTTCGAAGACTGGAAGGGCTCTCCTTACAGCGCGCATATGCGCACTCGAAGGCTATGGAGAGATGCCGTATAGTGCACCAGGCTCAAGAATCCAAGCTGGAACAGCTGGGCCGTTGAACGGGAAGTTTTTGAAGCTCAAAAGCATGAATTCGCAGTGCATTCCAGGAGTCTGTGGAGATAAGACCCCCACATGCCCCCACGCCTACCTAGGTTATGTTCCCAACGCGCCATTAGGCCGTGTCTGTCTGCGTGGGGCACCTTCGCCAGGAGGTCGGTGCGAAAGCTCGCGCCCAAATGAGAGCTGCCTTGCAGATGCCGCTTGGCCGCGTTCCGAAGGGCTCAAACGCCCTCAAGCACCAGACGGCTAAACTTACCTGCTACTGAGACATCGTGTGACGGACTCAAAAGAGCCCGGTATGAAGGAGAGCTCCAGTGGCCAGAACTGCCTGGCGAACATTCCAGAACCCTTCCATGATTTCAGGCTCGAGCGGGCACGTGCCGGCCGTTCTGTCACTCGTGGTGCACTTGGGAGCGCCTGGGTTGTCGCTGCGATCCTCCTCCACGCATTCGAGTACATGTCCCGTGGCAGCAACAGGCAAACATCTCGGCAACTTGTGAAGAGTGTGTGCATGCGGGCCAGGAGAAAATGAAGTACGTATCCGCAAACCTCTCTACCTGCAAGCGTAAAGACATGCGCAGAGTCCAATCAAGGAACTGAGGCCCTAACTAAAGCTTCTTCAAGACCGATCCACAGACCTTGCAGTTTTGATGTCTTCGGTGGAAAGTGCGGCAGAACTCGGTCGTCCCAAACTGCAGTCATGCTTTTAGCAGGCTTCGTTCACTCCTTTAAACGATGTGAGTGGCCTGCCGCGCAACATCCAGTCGCAGTTGTAAGCGTTGCTGCACAGCACGCTTTCCAATATTGGAGGTCACCAAGACTCCAGTGAAAAAGAAACACTCCGTGGTCGATTTCGAGAACTGGCTAGATACATCTAGAATCTAGATGCTAGGCGCATCTGCAACTTCAGAGGGCAAAAACACGGTCTTCATAGTACCAAGTCGAACGACCTGAGTGTGTTGAACTGGCGATTCTGCAGCAGAGTGCCGACTTAGTGTGGTCTCCTGATTATTAAGCCACCGCCCCCCCACCCCCGAACAACCAAGACCACGCAATAGATTGTTTGGGGGGTTCGAAGTTGTTGGGGGCCGGGGCTCTCAGTAGTAGTACAGTTAGTAGTACAGTAGTACAGTAGTACAGTAGTACAGTAGTAGTACAGTAGTAGTATAGTAGTAGTAGTGTAGTAGAAGTCTAGTAGCAGTAGTAGTAGTAGCAGCAGCAGCAGGAGTAGTAGTAGTAGTAGTAGTAGTAGTAGTAGTAGTAGTAGTAGTAGTAGTAGTAGTAGTAGTACTACAGTAGCAGTACAGTAGCAGTACAGTAGCAGTACAGTAGTAGTACAGTAGTAGTACAGTAGTAGTACAGTAGTAGTACAGTAGTAGTGCAGTAGTACAGTAGTATAGTAGTACAGTAGTAGGCCAGTAGAAGCCTTCTGGCTTTGAATACAGAAAGGGATTCTGCTTTGCTGTTCTGGAGGCCCCCGGCAGGCCGCTGCACTATTGAGGGGGGCTTTTTCATCCGAACTATTGAATCTATTGTGGGGTGGGAAGCTGTCGTATACTACCCCTTAGAAAAGTTGATGGGATGGCTTTTTTAACGGCGGGTTTAGAAAAGAAACCTATAGATCTGGCAGCCGTGCAAAGCCAGAGTTTGGAGCTTTGGGCTGAATCCCTGAAGGCTGGAGGCTTTAGGCTTCTATATAGAAGCCTTCTGGTTTTGAATACAGAAAGGGATCCTGCCTTGCTGGCCTCCCACGGCAGGCCGCTGAGCTATTGAGGGGGCTTTTCATCCGAGCTATTGTGGGGTGGGCAGGTATCGTATACTACCCCTTAGAAAACTTGATGGGGTGGCTTTTTCATAAGCGGTTTATATAAGAAACCTATTGGATGCCGCTCTTTTGCGACCACGAGTACCTCTTCCGCTACCTCATGCGGACAGAGGCTCTCAAGCGCTCCAAGGTCCCTCTCGCCACAGGACAGGAGGCCCCCTAAACTTCTAAACCCTAAGCCTGGCTGGCTGGCTATCTCTCTTCTCTGTGTTTCCTCTATCTTGCCTGTTTCTGTCTCTCCTCTTCCAGGGCGTCACTGTGTAGTAGGAATGCTAATTTACCTAAGCCTTTAAAAACTTAGCACACGACTATTGAGGGAGGTTTATCATTACGTGCAGGCACAGTTTCTCTCTATTGAGGGGACCTTTATTATTGAGTTCCCGGCCGAGTTTCGCTCTATTGAGGGGACCTTTAATAATCACAAGCTCGCATTATTGTTCTTCCAATCTTTCAGGCCAAAGCGTTTCCTGGAGATTCTGCTTGCCCTCGTCGGCGTCCGTGTCGACGGGCCTTTCGGGCTGCTGGCATTGACGCTTGGCACAATGTTGTTCTGAAGGCTTGCCTTGCAGTGTAGCAACATTCTGCTTCGCAGCAGCGGCAATACTCAGGACCGGGAGTATCTTGATTGCCCTCCTGGCGGTTGTGGTGTCATGGCTGCGTTACAGGATCAGCAATGATGCCTGTCGGTGCTTCTCTTCGTGCACTTCACCAGGTGCTTCTCCGTGACCTGGATGGATTCTTGAATTCGGAGAACCTAGAGGGGAAGATGGGCTAGGCCGCTAATCCCCTCCCCCTTTTATTAAAGGACCCCCTAATTATAAAAACACTTTTCCCCCGATCCACCCGGAAGTAGCACCGCCCTTTAAACCCTAATTTGAATTAGGGGGAAGGTTTAGGGTCTATAGATTGAGGGTTTAGGGGGAAGAATTATAATTGCATGACTCAGCAACTGCTCAATTGAGCCGCATGAAAAGCTTTATTAGCCAAGCCTTTATTGAAGCCTATTTTTTTAATGCGTATTTACGGATTTAGTGTGTATTTGCACGGATTTGTGTGTTTGCACGGATTTAGTGTGTATTTGCACGGATTCAGTGTGTATTTGCACGGATTTAGTATGTATTTGCACGGATTCACGGATTTAGATGTATTTGCACGGATTCCGTGTGTATTTGCACGGATTTGGTGTGTATTTGCACTCACGTCCTGTGTAGTTGCACGAATTTAGTGTGTATTTGCATGGATTTGCACGGATCGTGAGTATTTGCACGCAGTATTTGGTGTCTAATTACAGGGATGTAGTGTGTGTATTTGCACAGATTCCGTGTGTATTTGCACGCATTTACTGTGTGCCTGGTGTGTAGTTAGAGGGATTTAGTGTGTGTGTCTTTACACGGATTTAGTGTGTGTTTGCATGGATTCGGCGTGTATTTGCACGGATTCAGTGTGTATTTGCATGGATTTGGTGTGTATTTGCACGCATTTCGTGTGTATTAGCACGAACTTGGTGTGCATGTGCACGAACTTCGTATGTCTTTGCACGGTTTAATGTGCATTTGCACGGGTTTGGTGTGATTTGCAACCCTTATAATAGCGTTTCTTAAGTCTCCAGAGAGCCCAGAGCTTCAGGTCACCCCAAAATCTCGATTCCGGGTGGGGAAAGGGCCCAAATGACACCCCCGGGGATTGAGCCCGCAGCCTTTGCGAGGAGGGCTTTGGAGGCAGACGTTTACCCATTAGGCCATGGCCAGATAGTTCTGGGGGCTGGCGGCTGCCTCCCTAGGGGATTTGGGCACGGTCGCAGGCCCAATTCTGGCGGTGTCCCCGTGGGCCCTTTCCCCATCCAGAATCGAAATTTGAAATGACCAAAAACCGCCAAGAGCACAACCAAACCCGCCGAAAACCGCGCAAACCCACCAAAACCCTCCCCGGTGCAAGTTCCCAACATCAACAGCAGGTTGCAGAGGTTGAACCAGCAGGTTGCAGAGGTTGAACCAGCAGGTTGCAGAGGTTGAACCAGCAGGTTGCAGAGGTTGAACCAGCAGGTTGCAGAGGTCGAAGCTGCAGGTTGCAGAGGTTGAAGCAACAGGTTGCAGAGGTTGAACCAGCAGGTTGCAGAGAGGTTGAACCAGCAGGTTGCAGAGGTTGAACCAGCAGGTTGCAGAGATTGAAGCAGCAGGTTGCAGAGGTTGAAGCAGCAGGTTGCAGAGGTAGGTTGCAGAGGTTGAACCAGCAGGTTGCAGAGGTTGAACCAGCAGGTTGCAGAGGCAGAGGTTGAACCAGCAGGTTGCAGAGGTTGAAGCAGCAGGTTGCAGAGGTTGAAGCAGTAGGTTGCACAGGTTGAACCAGCAGGTTGCACAGGTTGAACCAGCAGGTTGCAGAGGTTGAACCAGCAGGTTGCAGAGGTTGAACCTGCAGGTTGCAGAGGTTGAACCAGCAGGTTGCAGAGGTTGAAGCAGCAGGTTGCAGAGGTTGAGCCAGCAGGTTGCAGAGGTTGAACCAGCAGGTTGCAGAGGTTGAAGCAGCAGGTTGCAGAGGTTGAAGCAGCAGGTTGCAGAGGTTGAACCACAGCAGGTTGCACAGGTTGAACCAGCAGGTTGCAGAGGTTGAACCAGCAGGTTGCAGAGGCAGAGGTTGAAGCAGCAGGTTGCACAGGTTGAACCTGCAGGTTGCAGAGGTTGAACCTGCAGGTTGCAGAGGTTGAAGCAGCAGGTTGCAGAGGTTGAACCTGCAGGTTGCAGAGGTTGAAGCTGCAGGTTGCAGAGGTTGAAGCAGCAGGTTGCACAGGTTGAACCAGCAGGTTGCACAGGTTGAACCAGCAGGTTGCAGAGGTTGAACCAGCAGGTTGCAGAGGTTGAACCTGCAGGTTGCAGAGGTTGAACCTGCATGTTCCAGAGGTTTGGTGGGCTTGCGCGGTTTTGGGCGGGTGTGGTTGTGCTCTCTTGGCGCTTTTGGTCATTTCAACATTTCGATTCTGGATGGGGAAAGGGCCCAAAATGACACCGCAAGAATTGGGCCTGCGACCTCTCCCAAAACTACTAGCAAGGTGCGCAACCTTTCGCAAAACTATCTGGCAATGGCCTAATGGGTAAGTGTCCGGCTCTAAAGCCTTCTTGGCAAAATTCGTGGGCTCAATCCCCGGGGGCGTCATTTAGGCCCTTTCCCCACCCGGAATCGAGATTTTGGGGTGGCCTGAAGCTTTGGGCTGTCCGGGGACTCTCTAGAGCGGACTGGGTGCACATCCGGCTTTCGTGGGGCAGGTTGCAGAGGTTGAACCAGCAGGTTGCAGAGGTTGAACCAGCAGGTTGCAGAGGTTGAAGCAGCAGGTTGCAGAGGTTGAAGCAGGTTGCAGGTTGCAGCAGGTTGAACCAGGTTGCAGAGGTTGAAGCAGCAGGTTGCAGAGGCAGCAGGTTGCAGGTTGAACCAGCAGGTTGCAAGGTTGAACCAGCAGGTTGCAGAGGTTGAACCAGCAGGTTGCAGGTTGCAGGGTTGAACCAGATTGCAGAGGTTGAACAGAGGTTGAACCAGGTTGCAGCAAGTTGCAGAGGTTTAACCAGCAGGTTGCAGAGGTTGAACCAGCAATTTGCAGAGGTTGAACCAGCAGGTTGAACCTGCAGGTTGCAGAGGTTGAAGCAGCAGGTTGCAGAGGTTGAACCAGCAGGTTGCAGAGGTTGAACCTGCAGGTTGCAGAGGTTGAAGCTGCAGGTTGCAGAGGTTGAAGCAGCAGGTTGCAGAGGTTGAAGTTGCACAGGTTGAAGCAGCATGAAGCAGCAGGTTGCAGAGGTTGAACCAGCAGGTTGCACAGGTTGAACCAGCAGGTTGCACAGGTTGAACCTGCAGGTTGCAGAGGTTGAAGCAGCAGGTTGCAGAGGTTGAACCTGCAGGTTGCAGAGGTTGAAGCTGCAGGTTGCAGAGGTTGAAGCAGCAGGTTGCAGAGGTTGAACCAGCAGGTTGCACAGGTTGAACCAGCAGGTTGCAGAGGTTGATCCACAGCAAGTTGCAGAGGTTTAACCAGCAGGTTGCAGAGGTTGAACCAGCAGCAGAGGTTGAACCAGCAGGTTGAACCTGCAGGTTGCAGAGGTTGAAGCAGCAGGTTGCAGAGGTTGAACCAGCAGGTTGCACAGGTTGAACCAGCAGGTTGCACAGGTTGAACCAGCAGGTTGCAGAGGTTGAACCAGCAGGTTGCAGAGGTTTGGTGGGTTTGCGCGGTTTTGGGCGGATGTGGTTGTGCTCTCTTGGCGCTTTTGGTCATTTCAACATGTCGATTCTGGATGGGGAAAGGGCCCAAAATGACACCGCAAGAATTGGGCCTGCGACCTCTCCCAAAACTACTACCAAGGTGCGCAACCTTGCCAAAAACTATCTGGCCATGGCCTAATGGGTAAGTGTCCGGCTCTAAAGCTTTCTTGGCAAAGGTCGTGGGCTCAATCCCCAGGGGTGTCGTCTGGGCCCTTTCCCCACCCGGAATCGAGATTTTGGGGTGGCCTGAAGCTTTGGGCTCTCTGGGGACTCTCTAGAGGGGACTGGGTGCACATCCGGCTTTCGTGGGGCAGGTTGCAGAGGTTGAACCAGCAGGTTGCAGAGGTTGAAGCAGCAGGTTGCAGAGGTTGAAGCAGCAGGTTGCAGAGGTTGAAGCAGCAGGTTGCAGAGGCTGAGCCAGCAGTTTGCAGAGGTTGAAGCAGCAGGTTGCAGAGGTTGAAGCAGCAGGTTGCAGAGGTTGAACCAGCAGGTTGCAGAGGTTGAACCTGCAGGTTGCCACATGTGCTCTTCTGCACTTGTGCAACCATGAAGCATTGCTATCATCAACAACAACATCATCATCATGTTCTTCATCATCATCATGTTCTTCTCCTGGACCATGATCATCGTCATCATTACCATCACCACCACTACCGCCATCTTCATCATAACAAGCATCACCGTAATCGTCATCATCATTTTCATCGTCATCATTTTCATCATTTAATTACTTGTAGAACCTGTCTTTCTAGGAATTGAGATAACAACACCCCCCTAATTATAAAAACATTTTCGAGTTTTTATTTAGGGCGAAGGGGGGGGGGGGCCCCGACCCTTTAATATTAGGGGGAAGGGATTAGGCCCCGAGGCGGCTGGGCTAGCGGCGAGTTAGCCTTCAGTTTGAGGCTGGGCTGTACAGTGCTGCCAGTCACAAGACGGGCACACCAGCCTCGCACGGGACAGCTGGTCCAAGCTCGGGTCAAAACGAGCCCCCGAAGCAGACCTCCAAGGCTTGACACACTGCTGTGTTGATGGCTTCCTCCTGCCTCCTGCCAGAAGCCAGACTCAGAATCTTGTTGCATGTCGATGCGTTTCAGTTGGTCCTTGGCGATGCCATAGCCTTAGGGAAACCTCCTCTCCAAAAGCCTTGGGCACCCGTCAGCAGCGAGAGTCGGTGCGCTTAAGCCACGACCTGCAAGCCTCCAAGCTTCGGAAAACAGCCGAACAGCAGATGCATGCAGATTCCAACGAACAGGATGTGGCTGAAAGACATCTCGTAGCCCTGAGGTGGACGCTCCAGCAGCCTGCAAGTGTACCGAAGAGCCCTTGCAATCGCACCAGCATGTGTTGACTTGTGGGCGCTGACCTCACTTCATGACACGGTAGGTGCCCGCAGAGAGGCCAGTCATGAGTGTTGTTTTGAGGTTCAGTATTGCGAAGGTGCCGGCTTCAGTGACGAAGTGAACGAGGAGCATCAGTTCGCAAGAGTGTGCGTTTGGATGAATTTGGCTCGCAGGTCGAAATCTGCTTTTCCCAGCAATGACTGGTTTTTACAGGACTCACTTCGAAAGATGTTTGAAGAGGCTGTTGAGGCGGTTGGACAGGACTGGCGCAGGGGGCCCAGCTCAGGATTCAGTGTCATCCAGAGCAGACATCAGACCCAAGTGCATCGCCGGAGAAAAACAAAGCGAACCTGGAGAAGGGGCGGCAGGAGGTGTCAAGCAAAATTCTGATGGACACTGGTCACGAGAACAGCTTCAATGTCCGACTCACCTGCCTGAAGAACTGCCAGCTTTGAATTGAGAATGTGGGCATGCCGACAACATGTCGGGGTCCGTCGCCCAAGATAGCCCAAGTACCATAGCGAGGGTATGTTCGATACAGCGGGCCTGCGGCAGGCACCGCGAGCAACAAGTTTTTTTTTTCGTCAATCTGTTCGTGCGGATTTGGCTATTGTGCATTGGTCGGGGTGGGAGTGGGGAGAGAACGTGCTTGCATGTTCGGTTTAGCAGAATGCGGAAGAATGCAACAGGCACCTTTCCAGGACACACACTCACACTCACACTCACACTCACACCCACTCTCTCGAGTGTCAGCGTAGGCTGCCCAACCAGTGCCTTGTTTTCACTGTCTCTCTCTCTCTCTCTCGTTGTAACATGCGCAGCTGTCGCTAAGCGGCAGATTTCAGCTTTTTTGCGTACCTACCCTCCAGTCAGGAGTCAAGCAGTGGGGACAGTATCTGTGTCATGACGACCGCATCTGAAAAGAACATGAGCTCTTGTCAACGTCACGGCATGCAATTTCCACTGCTCTTTGCAAGCCCATTGCAGGGTGTATCATGATGTGATCTGTTCCGATGTGTAAGATGGGCCGCTGCAAACGGCTTGGATCTGCGTGCCTGCTCGTTGACGTTGCGAGGTGCATTTCCCTTGTGGGATCTCTACTTCAACTTCGAGGCCAAACACTCTGCTATCCGCAAGTTGTGTCGAAGTTGGTTTCTGGTTCTGCTTACAATGACGTTACACACCTCTGCGACTCAAGCTGCCCGTGCTGGTTATCGGACTTAGATAGTTGCAGCCACAGGTTGAGGGGAATTCACTTCGGGGAATTCTTCAGTCGTCTTGTGGCTGCTCGGTTTTTGCCCGCGACTTTCTTTCCTTGTGAGCATTTCTTACGGCGCAGAGCCCTGCACGCTCGAGATTTAACTCCAGTGGGCAGATAAGTCTTCGAGCTGCCGGCGATCATCCATCAAAAACGGGCCATTGGGCCCGGGATGCTTCACATGCCTCTTACGCTGGAGAGCTGTTCCTAGCCCGATAAATACGGTACACGGTTATCTTTCATACATCTGCTTCTCCCAACTTTGCTCGCAAGTCGAGCCCGAAGCTTTGCAGAGGGTCGTGCTTGACTTGTCCGGAGTAATTGCGACATGCAGCGTTCGGGTGTTAATCGTCTGCTCTGGCTGAACCAGCCTTCTGATCTCCTGATCACTTCAGCGTTGTATGAGATGCTTCTACTGGCCCCCAATGCTTGTCTGAGCTCTTCAGGTATCCGAACGCCAGCCGGATTTTTGACAGGAAGTGATGCCTGCTGTCATTGAAGTTCCAAGCCTTAAGCTGAAGACATTTCGTATACATGTAATTGGACGTTGCGAAACACCAAGATTTTGATTCTGTGCCTCACTATTGTGTAGCGCAATATTTTTGAAAGGCCTTTTAACGAGATTTAAGAAGAGTCATGACAAAGCTTTGTATAGTAAAAAAATTGAAGTCAAGTCTCAAACTGGGCGTCTCTGGCCAGGAGAGAGGCAGACGTTGGAAGCGCTTAGGTTGTCTGCTCCAGCGTGCCCTGGTCGATACCTCAGAAGCGGCTGAAGCAACGAGCAGAAGCAGCAAGCTCTCACCTGAGGCTATTCCCATGCAGGGTTTGCCAGCGTGCACCCGAGATGCAGTGTTTTCAGTCAGTTGTTGTTGAAGTGGATGTGTAGCAGTGTAGCATGATGAGCTTTGGGCAGGCAGTCAGGGTGCGTCTGCGATCATTAATACTTGGTGATGCGGCTCCCCCATTGGAGGCTTCAGGGTTCTGGTTCTGGTGCACGTTGCTTTCCTGCGATTTTGCCCTGGCCTGGTGTGGCCTTGCAGGCGCTTTGCTCTGAAACGGATGCGCCGACGATGGAGAGGATGCTTGGTGCGAAGTCCGAGGAGCCATGCCCGCGTCGTCCGAAAGCTAAACTGTGCAGAGCGAAGCGGAGCACATAAGTCGTCTCGGTGTTCGTTTCACAGCTTCAGCTACATATTTAGTTCTGCTAGCCTTCTGCTCGAGTTGCCTCTGAGGTGTTGTGTGTTAGGCTTCGGGCAGAAGTAGCTCACTTTCTCTTGTGCCCACCGCCGCCCCATTCGCCTCCGGGAAGTTTGATGAGGTTCCATGCTAGACTCTCGGAACGAGAGTCTTAGGATTTCGATTGCAAAGAGTCCGAGGGCGCGTCGACTGCATGTTGTGTTGTGTCACGGCAGTGTGGGCTGGCGGGTCGGGGGTACCTGTGAGTTTAGAACAGAGAGACCTAGCTGAGACCACCTCAAAGAGCACTGCAGTGCTTGCAGGACCACTAGGCACGAGCAATCTTCTGACATTCGCATGTCCGATATCCTTTTTGGGTCCTCTGATCTAGTGGGCCAAGGTGATCCCTTGCGAGCGTTTAGAAGGGCTGTTCGCGCCTTCGAGCATGGAAGAGTGGAGCACGTGGGTGTGGTCTGGTTGTTCGTGCCACGCAGCACGGCACCTTGCAGCAAGAGAACTTATCCCGGCAAAGAATTAGCAGGGAGTCTACTAGTCTAGTGTTGTTACTGGTTTGGGAAGTGCATAACACGAATACAAGATAAGCAGTTGCAATCCTAGTCCATGGAAGTCGTGGTTGCAAATCGTTTCGCATGGTTCTGCTATACGGCAACATCTGTCACGCATGATTCGGTTCCCTTCCTTTCCCGGTTTGGCAGGAGAAGGACCGCAGCTGCAATATCTTCCAGGACATTCCACTGCAATTTGCGGGTGAAGTCTTACAACGAGCAGAACTCCAACGAGACTTACAATGCTCAGCACCACGAAGAATTCAATATCGCATCAGAGAGCATCGCCCATTGACTTCGAGCTTGTCCCACAGGAGTCAGATGAAGAGGTGGGCATTGTCAGTCACAGCGTCGAGGATGGTATTGCAACAGAGAACATATCATCCCAAGACAGATATGTCTGGCTCTATCGGAGGAGAACGACGCGGCTCCGCCGTCGCATCCACCACCGCCCGCTGAGGCCACAGAGCTGGAGGAGTTTGGGCATGCATGAGGGATTCCCATACGAGGCTTTTCACGAAAGCTAGCTCTTCAGGAGCTTGCGGGAGTTGTCGATAACGGTAAGAGAGAAGAAGCCTGCAGTTAACAAGACATGTTTAGGTCTGATAGAGATCGAGAGTTAGAGGCATGCAGGGAGTGTTGCTACTTAGCAACCCCTACAGTTGCGACCAGGAAGGTGGATGTATAGGTTCGCGCAAACTTTGTTGTCTCAGTTTGGGGTATGTGCGTGGGGCCTTTCAGCACCTCCCCCAAAGCCCTCAATTCAAAGTATTACTGTCTACTTCCACAGTGATTCCGCGATGACATGCTGCAGTCATGCGGGGGTGGCGGGTTTAGGGCGCTTGGGACCGAATGGTTGCGTCATGACTTCCTAAGTCCGCATCGCATTATTTCAATCCCATCCTCGACACAATATGTAAGCCTGCAGAATGATCCATGCTCCTGCTATTAATGAAGTTGAGCAACATCCCAAAACCTTGTTCTACCTTCCGAAGCCCTGTTCACAAGCAGTTTGCACTAGGCTTTCAACCCTAAATGCCCTGAATGAATGCTTATAAGTTGGGGCCGGATGTCTCGTGGCAACTTCGAAACGGAATATCCGGTGCATCGACTTCTTTGTAACGTCCTGGGATCCGAGCGAAACATCTTCTGTGACTCCTTGTGCACACTCATACTGTAAAGACCCTCATCTTTGCGCAACCCTTGTAGGTGCTGACATATAACTCATACTCGGAAATGACAATAGATCTCAGATACTGCTCCGAAGGCCCTGTATAACGCAGCGTTTCCACATCCAACGCTCCTCTCACGCACTGAAACGCTTCAAAGACAAACCAGAGCAAACAAAAACAATCATACCCCACAAAACCCAAACAAACACATCGACATCGTAACAAGCCACGCCTGGCACGGTTTTAGAAGATACCACTGTCGATGCCACCCAAGAAACAGCTTAACTCATAAAATTTGTTGTCTTGCGTTCGCGCCTGCGGCAACCCGTCTGCGTGCCTGCTGCAACCGCTTGTAGTCGAACGATATTCACAATTTCTCTGTGGTTTTGGCACGTCTTGACAAAGCTCCGGCCTCTCTATGTACTCAAAGACCTTCGCGACCTGGTTTTTCCGAGGCGAAATGGACCTGCATATTTCTTGTTGTTTTTTGCCACTGTCTCGATTTCTTCTTGTTCTAGCAACATACAAAGTGCAAATTCCTCGAGTTTTTGACACTTCCTGACAAAGCAGCAACTTTTCGAGTTATCGTGCTTTTTTAAGCAAAAATGCTTCATTCCCGCACACAGCAAAATCAACAAACATGTTGTGTTTGTTCACAGCACAAGACGCTTGCCCGTTCTGCTGCGTGTGCGTGAACAGGGCGTCGGAGCGTTGTTCTAAGTATTCAGGCCAATCTCCTGAACCAATCAATACCTTCAAGTTCTGCTCGCACCGTTCAGGGGTTGGGGCCCCTAGAGCCGAAAGTACCGGCTTTAGCGGGACCAGGAGCGGAAATCTAGGCACCTTAATAATCCGCTGCCGGTGCTTCGGTGTCTGGGTTTAATGAATCCCTGCCCTTCAACTCTGCTTCCCAGATTTTTGGCCGTGGTGGACGTTTGAAATCTGTTTGGGTTTTTGCTGCTATAGCCCCAGACGACTTGATTCAGGCGCTGCCTGTTTTTCCCGAAACCACCGCGAGGGGCTCTCTGGAAAAACGCTTGCCCTGCTCACGCACAGCACCTACACCGCACCAAGTACACCAGAGAACCTACACCGCTAGTTGTTTCTTAACCGGGCTCGACGCCGATGAACCCTCTACTACATGCAGGGATCGTGCGTGTTGACGCACTCTCGCTGTGATGCCGTGCGAATTTTTCAGCTCGCCGATGAACTCTCCGCGGGGATCGTGCGTGTCGAAGTGCTCTCGCTGTGGCGCCGTCTTCATGCTCTCATGCATGCACCTGCAGCACCTACAGTCCACAGCACCAAGGCCACAGCACCTACACAGCACCTGCGCCGCACCAAGACTGCAGCACCTCGCTCTCCTGTGAATGCCGATCCCTGCCACGAACCTGCAACGGGTGCTGTTTCACAGGGAGAGTGCACAGGAGCGCGGCACTTGGCAGCTGCTTCAGCAAAGACCACAGTTCCTCGGGGGCATCACTCAGGTGTTCATGCTGAATCTCCGCCAGCAGGAACACTGCCAATACCGATGACGTTCATCATCAGCCACCCCCAACTGACAAAAGCAGCAGGTGACAGCACGTGGAGCAAGCTCGTCCCCTTGTGGCGCGATGTTCCCGACCAGCTGTCATTCCCGCATGAGGGCCTTCAAGCACCTTATCCACCCACTGTTTAGAACCGACAGCGGGGAGATCACAGGAATCGGACCTTCCACCACACAGATCTCCAATGAGGCAGGAGGAAAGACTTTGCGCCATCTTGGATTGGACAGGGCGCATCCTACGTTGCATTGGATGTGTGGGTGGTGGGCGCTTCATGTCGCTGCGTCATGCGCTTAGACCAAAGTACACCAAGTACGCAGATGATTGCACACGAAATTACGCTTCCAAGGGGGCTATGGAAAAATGCAGAGCTTCCCGAAGCAACGTATAAGGGCAATTTCACCGAACTGCTGTGTGTAGACACACGCACGGTGACTGGGCTCAAGATGGCTCAGAGACGCATCTAGCCCACATCGCCCTCCTCCCGTCTCCCTCCCGGCTCCGGCTTCAGTCGCCCTCATCGAACCTCCAGGCTCCGGGCTTGCAGGCCCATTCCCCATATCACCCTCGTCGTAACGCTGACCTTGGCCTGACAGCATGTAAGATGCAGACATGGAGTGCGAAAGTCTCAGCGTCTACATGACCAACCTTTTCTCTATGATTCAGCAGCTGTTAAAGTCACGGTGCTGTCACATGGCCCACAACTTGCCCAACACACAGGGGTCGCCACCTCTAAACCCGATCTTGCAGCAAAAGGCGCCGGCCGCTCCACCCCGCCCCAACAGCGCGCACGCCGTATACCCTGAGCCTCAGTCCCCGTAGTTTTTGTGGACCCTTTCTCAAGTTTTGGTCCAGTGCTCGTCCAACGTCACAGTTGCGCAGTTGTGGAGATACAAGAGGTACAGGGTGGGCCGGGTGCATGATCCCTGTCCCAACTGGGGCCTCGGGTGTTGTTCTGCAAGAGCACAGTGGCATGTGTCGTCTGGGTAAAGATATATCAAGTTGGCAGCCACAGGTCCATTGCATACCTTTGCCAGAACAACAGGGCACGAGTGATTGACATGGCCACATGTACTTATGATGCCACGGCCAAGGCCACAAACGATTTCAAGGCTTCTTGCAGCCAGTCCTACGTTCATCTGTTCGTTACAGGGGGGGAAGAAGATCGGCTCGCATTTTCACGTTCGAGCAGGGGATCGAGGTGGCCACAGAAGCGGTTAAATGTTGCTGCTTGTCGTTCACATCAGCATTGACTTGTCGTCCTGATTGCACGGCTTGCAACATCTTGCAACAGTTGTTTCTTCCTCAGAGTTTGCTGTTCGTGTGAGGATGGCGAACTTCACGAGGAGGATGACTCGGACCCGGATGGTGAGATTCATGAGGAAGAGGAGCCTCCCGCGGCCGTCCAAAGTGAAGCTGCAGTTCCGGTGCGCCTGCGAGTGCTGAAAAGCTCTTCCGATAGCTTGAAGACCCCCAGCCAAGTAGCTGCCGATGATTGGCCAGGTGGCAGGTTTCAGCAGCGTGGGCGCTCAGAGACCTCCAAACACAGACTCAACAAGTCTGGTTGGGAAGGCCAGGAAGACCCCTCTGATGACATTATTCGGGTATCTTGCGAGGGGTTCTCGCAACTGCAGTTTGGTATCGGAGATGAGCTTACAGGGCCGGCAGTATCGCTTGCGGAGTCTTTGCACTGCTCTGCATCCCCGTCTTGCCTTGCTACTTGCAGAAGCTAAATTGCTGGCATCGTTTCCATCTTTAGTAGGCCCATCTTCTTGAGCTTCGAGCTTCTACTTGGCTGAGCGCTTTGTCACTGCCCTGTGCCACTTCTCTGCAGGGCAGTACGGTGGGGGCGGTGGCGCGTTTTAAAGGCGCCGAGGAAGCCTTCGGTTGTGCGGAGCAGAGCAGACTGCGGTTTGAAGCGAGATTTCGATGCACAGCAGGAGCTCGATGCATCGGATCGCGCAGAGCACTTCTTAAGCCTCCGAGAGGCATCGCCAGCATTGCCAACATTGAGTCGGTTAAAGCGTGTGTGCTAGGAGCTGTGGAACAAGACCTCTTCAGAAGCAGCCCTCCTGATGCAGTACGAGGCCACTGAGACAGAAAGTCAAATCCTCTGCAGAGAAGTGCTCGGGCTCGGGTCCAAGGCACCACTCCACCGACAGTACTTCCACAACAAGCCCCTGAGTCAAGCTCAACTGGATGCTTGGCGCTGCTATTTGGACTTCGAGGAGTCGGGGCCCCGGCCGCGAGGGGAGCTTCGACATGGTACAGGACCATGACCGTTTTGTTTGGGGCGGCGAGAGTGAGTGCGCGGTCGTGCTATGTTGTGCTTGGTGCGGTTGTGCGGGGCTCTTCTGGGACGGGACGGGGCACGGGACGGGTTAGGTCGCGGCATCCGCGGGACTGGCGGCGGCTTTCTGCTCTCTTCGAGCGCTGCCTCGTGCCGCGGCCGCAAAGCGAACTAAGCGAACTCTTTGCGGCAAAGCGCTTTGCGGCGGCTGCGGGTGCAAAGCGCAAACAAAGCGCAGCTTTGCTTCGCAGTCGTCGTCTGCCGTCTCCTCCGTGAGGTCGTGACGAACAACTACTTGGAGTTCTGGCTCCGGTACGCTCGAGCCTTGACGGCCATGGAGGCGGAGCCTGCAAAAAGTCGCTGGAGTTTTCTATGCGAGCATCGTAGTGTCGGGAAGCTGTGGTCTGGGGAGGAGCAAAGCTGCAAGCCGGAAACGGCTTGCAAGCTGTTACGAGGCCGATGTCCTTTCAACGCTCTGACAACTCAGCCATCGGCAGTATTCGGCAGCTTGACAGGTGCCTGCTTGAACGGCCGCTTGTCCCGCCGGCCGGATGCTTTGGCGGCCTGGGCAGAGCTGGAGGCTGCATTGCAGAGACGCAGTAGACGCAGGGCAGATGTAGCTGCGCCGCCGCAGTGTAGCTGCCGTGCCTGGCGACTTGCAGCACATTGCAGGAGCGATGTGGGCGACCGCACCGTGCTGGTGCCGTACTAGATGCGGCTCTGCAGACTTGCGGCCCTTTCCTTAGATCAAAAGTATAGAAGTGGTCTCGCATTCGCATCAGTGTACTGCTCGCTGTCGCTTGGCACGGTGGAGGCATGGGCTCGACAGAACTTGCCATCCGAAGAGTGGCATTGGAGATGCGCAGATCTGTCGGGGGCTTCGTGTGGGAGCGGGATGTCACAGGCATATCAAGTCAGACTCGTGCGGCCCTGTCTCAAGGATGTCTCGTCTGCGGCGTCTTTGCTGGAGAAGTTTGTCTTGCAGACTGTCAACCTGAACTCCCGCTCGTTTTTGAGCCTGCTTCTCAGCCCTGCATCTGGCATCAGGGCACTCTTCCGATCCGCTTCTCGCTCAGGTCGTCGCTACGCGCGGCTGATGGAGGCCGAGAGCAGCCAAGGACTTTTCATTGTTTCTCACAGTATTGACAGGACTGCCAGAGACAGCCAAACAAGGCCGCTAAGACGGCGCCTCAGATCTACAAAGACTAGTAGGACACTTTTCTCCGCAATGTTTTTCCGTGGCATCTGCAGGTTTTTGATGGACGCATGGAAAGCCGGATGTCGTGACTCGGGCCTGCTGCTGGAGCTCACGCAACATGGACTCGGTTATGATAACTTTAAATGCTTCACGTCGTCCGCCTCGGCCCGGCTGTACTTGAAGCAGGTGTATTTTCGGAAAGCAGCGGGTAGGTCACGCAGGTGAGGTCACGGTGAGGTCTTGAGTGAGAGAACGCGTTTGCTTCACTTCAGAATGTTTTTTAATGTCAGTATTTGTTTTCATGCTGAGGCTTCGAGCAAAATTCCCACGCGAGAGGTGGCACATTCCTTGCATTGCCGTAGACTTTACTAAAATAATCGTAACGTATCACTTCCCACTGGTCTCGTATACAGCCTCACATTTGTTGGAAGGGGAATCAAGCTTTGCAACGAAGTACAAGACACAGCCCCAGAATTCGCGATTGATGTAAGCCCGTCTGGCCTAGGGATGAAGAGGTGGGGAAACAGGGAATCCTTGTGGGAACCTACGATCCTTCGGCCGGGGCCAAAGCGAATACCACTCCGCCGCATGCGTGTGAACACGCACGGCCATGATCCGAACTGGGCGTGCAACGTGGCGAGACCAATCCGTGGACTAGGCGGAAGCAGGAAATTCAGACGGAAGACGTTATTCCGTGCGTGTTGCTGGCGCAGTGAACGTGATGAGTTTCTACTTGACAAGTACATGGCTTGCGCCAGAACATCATAGCTCGTCTCGAATCGGAGTGCATGTGTGTCTATGATTGTATATGTGTCCCGTGCAAAGCATAATGAACTTCACAGAACATCAATGCCGAGCACCGTTAATCAAGGCAGCCAGCCAATCAGGCAGCGGGTCAGTCGGTCAGCCAGTCTTAGTCAGCTGGCCAGGCGGGCAGTCCGTCAGTCAACAAGCAAGCAAACACTGTGCACACTTGGCCCGCTTGGTCAAAGTTTAGGCCGTCCTCCAACCCAGACTTCAAATCTGCCTGTCTTCTTCTTTGCTGAATTCGAAAACCGCTCGGAACACTGCACGCAAGCAGCAAGTTGATGTGGTCGATTTGTGTTGACGGCATAGAGGGAACATGAGGGAACCCACAGGCCCACAGGCCCCACCATGTGACAACGGACAGGATGCGTCCCGACCCTCGAAACTCTCTTGCCAGGTCGCTTCTCATGCGCACGGCTTCGGACGAAGGTGCTCCTGTCCTGGACTGTTTATGTCCAGGGATGTCTGCATTGTCCAGGCCGCGGCAAGCTGGCGAGATGCATGGCTCTTTTCGAAGAGGCACTTGGGCTTGCAAAATTTCACAGAGACTTGTGCTATGCTGTGGCACAGGCCATCCATGCCGCTACAGCTGGTCAAGCTCGCAATGTCCCGGTTCTCGAAGAGGCCGTACAGTCGTGCAGCACATATCAGCACATCCAGTTTACCCGACAAACCAGACATGCCTAGGTCGGTCAGTTGTGGGCTTGTTACGTCGACTTCTTGTTGACGCACGGAGCCTCGCTGGAGACATTGCACAACGTCCAGGCGATGGGAGCGTAGGTCAGTATGTTGACTATGCAGTGACTTCAGTACGCGCCGACGCATCCTGACCAGGACAGGGCGCGCAGATTTCGCTCCCGCTGCCAGGCTCGAGACAGACACACCGATTCAGAAAATGCCTTGTACATGCTGCATACCGCAGGCCGTGCCGCCCGACACTACAGGGCCCCCTGTCACGCCAACGAAGAAGCGAAGGTCGTCAGATCTCAGCAAGATCCTCGAAGATAAATCCCGGACCCTGATTGACCTGCTAACTAACTCGTGCCAGTTTGCTGTCCGAGGTCCAGAAAAGACCACCGGATCGATGGCCGTGAAGCAGGCCGCCACAGCTTGCAGGGTCTGCGCATGTCGGGAGACTTGTGCTGCCCAATCAGGCACCAATGACTACACATAGACTTGCTATCTTGCATGTATGGTCAGGCTGGGGCGCAACAGCGCGCTCGCATGCCTTTGCCTAAAGATTGCATGTTGTGTTGGGCGGCTGAAGGCATGCAGCAGCATGTACGACGCTTTAGCTCACTGCGGGCTTTGCCTGGCAAACGAGGCAGCGCACCTGGATCACAGAATCTGCTGAGCGGGAGTGCATCAGGCCATGCAGTATTGCTGCTGAGCATGGTGCCGTGCTTGGAACTTGAAGTTCCTGATTCTACGCGGATGGCCGTTGCTCATCCGCCGGAATTTAATTCGGATGCTTGCGGTCTCCTGGCCCATACTCGTGCCAGTATGCTGCTTTGATCTTCTACGTAAGCATCACGTTGACTTGCACATATCATTCTGGGGCTGTACTTGTCAAACCCATCCGGGGAGAGAGGTACGTATCCTGGGCTAAGGCTGCTTTCGTTTGCACCGGTTACACGAGTATTAGCATTAACGCATTGCGTTGTATTGCACCTCCTCGGATGGCGTTGAAGTACGGGGCAAGAAGCCAAAGCTCGCTTGGAGCTTGCGCTTGGCATTTTCTTGGCGCCGGGCTTGACCCGTCGGGCCGCCGGCTTGAGGCGACGTGTCCAGCAAGCAGGCAGCACGGACTCCGTCACTGCTGTATCGCCCACATGGCTGATCACTTGGTAGAGCGGCAACATGCAGCAACTGCTTGGGCTAGGACAGACATGCATCCCTCACGACATTCGCAGCATGTTCATCCGAAAAGCGGGCGCGGCTGGTGCTCCAAGTTATTCATGTCCCGTTGCAAACGCTGCTTGTCACACACTTCGTTGACGTGGTGCGTCAGAGCCCTCAGAAGCGTCTCGAGTATGAAGCAGGATCGATTTCCTGGAGAACATGCACCAGCAAGCCCTGCGGCAGCTGCGCAAGTCCCGAGAGGACAGTGACACGGAGGGCCGCAGTTCATCTTGCGATAGTTGGAGGTACTGAGGAGATGTTCAGACATGTAAGAGACTTGAGCGACACGCCAGTGGTTCTGTGCTGCAGCAGGAGCTTGCGCAGGCACAGCAGCAGCGTCTCCAGGAGGCTCGCGGCTCGCGCTTGCTGACTCCACGGTGGAAGCCGAGAGAGACAAGTTCCTGATGCCGACACATCACTAGCACATGGGAAGGGACCACGGGGCTCCATGCCACTCGTAAGTGAACGAAATAAGCCGCAGACACCGCGGAGGTTAGCTTGATTGCGGCGCACTGTCGGGCATTTGTCAGCCCTCGATCCTTCAGGGTATCGCTGTGGATTTGGTGGTGTTTGGGTGTTGTGGAAAGAGCATCAGTCATCCAGTATACAGGCCGAGTATCGAATTACCCTACGAGTACCATGTACTTCTCATGATCCGTCGTGAAGCTGGCCACATGTGGACACAAGAGCAGTGGACGCAGGCTGACAAAGTATTGGGCTTGGAGCAGCTCATCAGCGAATTGCAGGCCTGCTTCCCAGCGAGCCTGATTGACGAGTGGGCGAATCATTCATATACTAATCGCATTCTGAAACTAATGCAGCTTTCGGAGACGACTGGTGTAGATGCTGAAGCCGCGAATCTGCATCCCGCTCAAGCACACATATGCCAGGTGCACCGATTTGAGGGCAGGAATTCGCAGTGGGAGGAGTGGCACCGCGCTGAGTGTGAAGGTTTGCTGAGGGTGAAAAGCCGTGCGAAGCTTCCCATCGAGTCTTCTAATGCTTTTCTGAGGCTCCGCCGTGCGCGCGGTATCCTTGAAGGGGAATGACTTGCTAATGACTTCTTGATCGGCCTTGTGGCTAGTGCTTTGAAAAGTGCCGCCCGGTCACTTGAAATGTTCCACAGTCTGTCATGCTGCTCGAAGATAGCTAATGTGTAAGCACTTGTGTGCCCTCGAGCGCAGCCGACCGTCTTAAACTAGACAAGGCAGAAACAAAAGAGTGAACACAGCGCGAAGTAGGGAAGACAGGAACGATCGAAGGCAAGAGGGCACAATCGCAGATGGCTACAGCAGGCAGCCATGTGGCAGATTGAACAGTTTGGTTGTGTGTGTGTATGGTTGGTAACACGTATCCACCATCGCGGCATAAAGTACAGACCTCAGAGGTATCGAATTACACAGACCGCAGGCGTCCTTCTCAGTTTGCAGTGCACATATATCATATATTGTTATATACTGTTTTGAGATATCTTTATCTCTTCCTTTCATTCATATAAGTCTGCATGTATGTATGTATGTCTGTTTGTACGTAAGTGTGTATGTATGTAGTGACATAACACACCATAGCACAATCCAGCACAATATAACATGATACAAAATCATGTGTATGTGTACTCGCGTATGTACTGTTGTTATTCCTATATCTATATCATTCTATATCTATATCTATACCTATATCAGTATACAGATGTATAAATGTTTGTGTGTTCATATATATATATATATATATATATATTTATACCTATATCTATACCTATATCTATACCTATATCTACATCTCTATCTCTATCTCTATCTCTATCTCTATCTCTATCCCTATATCTATATCTATATCTATATCTATATCTATATCTATATCTATATCTATATCTATATCTATATCTATATCTATCTGTGTATGTGTGCGTGCGTATATATGTATGTGCGTATGTATACATGTAGGCACTCGTACGTACATACATAGATCGACCTACAAATTGCGACAGGTATTCCCCGTGGCAACTGTTTCAGTATCAAACTGAAGACGATGGTAGCGTTTCTTCGATTCTTGGTTGTGCTTGTTGTGCCGTCGTTTGTGCCTCTCGGTCTCGTAATTACATCCACCACGCTTGTTGGTCTGCCGCGCACTGCTGCTCACATCTGCAGGTTTAAGTTTATCGGCGAGTGAGTGAGTGTGTGAGCCAAGCCTAAACTTTAAGCTTGATTGTTGGGCACCTCGGCACTAGCATACCTCGCGCGTCCATACTGAATGGTTCTTCTGATGAATTATCGGCCTATTTCGTTTTACTTGTTTATGTGGTGATGCCTGAGGGAGTTGATGCAAGACGTTCCCCGGCAATGAGACCTTTATTGTCAGTGACTGAGTCCGTCCTGATTTGCAGTAGCTGTATCACGCCTGAAACGCGGATATACAGATGACCCCTTGGCAGATATTGCCAGTCCTTGTATGGGCAAGATGCAAGGCAAACATGTACCTCAGCAGTTGCCAGAGACGTTAAGAAGACACCAAAAGTTAGGCAGTGAAAGCTTGCCGGCTATCGATAGTGACGTCGTGGAGAGGCAAAACCGACCCGGGACTCGTTGCTGTGTTATGGCCTCCGGCATTGAAGCTCGATTCAAGACATGACATGTAACCTGCGTAGGAAAACATCACCATATTGATTGGCAAATGCGATACCATCTCTTTTTCAGGACGTGCGGCTGCCTGTATTGAAGCAAGCATGTGTACATCTAAGATGTGATGAACTGCCAGAAGCCTTCGTGCAGCACTTACACTATTGCAAGCCAGAATAGCAATTGGACAGATGCAAGGAGCTGGCAGGCACAACGTTTGCAAGGGGTGCATGCAGAAGCAATAGGATTGCTGAGCGTGACTTCCCTATGTATGCCGTTGCGAGGAGAAATGTCTTCGATGGGCGCGACTTTCGCGGCCGCAATCAGCGAGCTCATCAAGCAGCTCGAGCAGTGTCAAAGGACCGCTGCTCGGGATAGTCTTGCCCTTGCGCAGGTGGTAACATCATAATAACATCTCCTAAAGTCACGATCCAGGATGCATGTCCTTGGGCGAATTTTAGGCTGTCGGCTGTCGCAAGCTGCAAGGCCTGGAGGCATAGCTAGCAGAGCTTTGAAGGAAGAAGGTTCTTTGACTCTGTTAGTGTACATACTTGTACCGACATGTGCCTTGCTATGGCACTCGGTAGACGTAAACCTGCGCTTAGCACTCGGCTAACGGCTAAAGTGCGGTCTGCGCATCTTCGACATGCTTTGCAAATTGGAGCGCAAGACTGGCTGGACGAGGGACACCTGCGATATGTTAAGCCCTTCTCTGCGTTCATCAGCATTGCCCTGACCCTGGGAAAGGAGCAACGCCAAGAGATTAAAGAGGCAAGACGGGCTGGCATGTGCTAAAGTCTTTTTTTGCGTACCTGGTGCAGAAGAGGCCTTCGATATCTTCGATTCAGAGAGAACTGGGAAGATGGACTACCACGAACTCAAGGCAGCAAGAAGACTGCATGCACCGCAATCGGATCCCACGGCGGGTCGTGCACTTGGAGGTTGCTGTCCGAGCCATGGGCTTCGAAATCAAGAAGCCCGAAGCTCTCGAACTGATGCAAAGGTGCTCTTCGCTGCACACAGCACCTGTAACCCTAGAGCTCCTGCTTTGTGGCAGACAGTTCCACCTTCGAAAGACACGGTCATTGCCTTTGTCTGAGGTATGACCGGGAAGAGACTGGCCAGCTGGGCAGCAATTCTTGAGTGAACTGAGAGCAAAATCGAATCTCAAATCTCAGTATGTTTGCAAGAGACTTGATGATGTTGCCGAGACTCCGTGGCTGCCGGGGTGCCCGTGAGCGCGCGTGTGCACGAGCCCTCGCACTCGCGCACTCTCCCCACGCCCATGCAGCCGCGCACCTGCGCTCGCACGTACGCGAGCGCGCACCTACCTACCTACACACGCACACACACATGCACAAACATGGACAGTGAGTGCGACATGAGACATGATGCTGTAGGATTCAGGCCTGGAGGGCTCTGTCATGTCGAGCTTTGTGTTTATACAATTAGGTGGAGATCGTACAATGCAGAACCCGTGAACCCACTCCGCCTTGGGCCGGGAAGCACGCCCAGGTTACATTGGTTTCGAGGCGTTTGAAGAGATCATGATACAGCGCTATGCTGCGCAAGATCCGATGGATGAAATCCGAAAAGCATTTGCCGCTCGAAAGGATCGTTTCCACCGGCTTGCATGGTGGTTTTGCAGAGCGATTCTGCAGTGTGCTTCTTCAGGAGTTGCGTCTGTTGAACCAACCAGGCACGACGAAGCACACGCAGCCCATCTAAGCCCAGTCACTTCACCATAGTTGTTCGGGAGCCAAGCCGGGCTCTTGCTGTCTAGCTCAAGCTAAGGGCTAAGCACATGTCATGTCGTCGTGATCAACCGTATGTCGGAAGTGCAGCCAGTCTCTCTACAAACATGCTTTGGCATCACGCCTGCAATCGTTTCGCTAAGATTCGCTTGTTCAGCGGGCTCGACAAACCTCCGACGTATGTGTCACGCACCTACAGCTGTGCCAAGGAGCTCTTTGATGAAGATAGGCGTGGGAGGATATCGTTCAGGACGCCTGGGCTTTGAGAGCAGCGTGAACGTGCAATCTTGATGTTGATGCCGACCGCAGGAACCTGAAGCGCATCGCCCGGGAGCTAGGAGAGAAGTTGACGGACGAGGAACTTCGGGGCATGATCGATGCCTTCCGTCTGCAAGAAAGTCTCAGGCCGTTGACGGTTTGCGGGCGGCAGTATTCCTGCTAGTGCGAAGTTGAGACGAAAAGACCTTACGCAAACAAGGAGTTTGACGTGGATCAAGATGGATGCTTGACTGAGAATCAACGAGTCTTCTTTGGTTGGAGAAAGTTGCATTGTTTGTCGTTCAATTGCAGCAGAGCTACCGGCACCTTTACCCGTTGCAATGTCAGGGGACATCAATGAAGAGGAGTTCATCAGCATCATGAAGCAGACATCCCTCTACTAGAGGATTCATGGAGCAAGTTTGCCCAAAGAGGCTCGGGTTGTTTGCTGGGAGACGACCGCTTCTCTCCCATAATCTGTTGCAGCATGATCAAGCAAATGAAGGCCAATCAGATGCTTGGGGGGCCTAGCACTGGTGAAAAGAGGCGCAACGGCAACGGTGTAGCATCATCCTGCATTCGGGATTGTTGCAGCTCTATGTGTGTGGTCGTCAATGCCAGAGCCTTTTCGAGACGCCTGTGCTCCACGGAGAACCTGCAGGATCCTGCAGGCATAAAAAACCAAGCGAACCACGGCTGGAAGTGTCGCGACATGTGTAAAGCATGCCAGGCGCACAGACAGGCTGTGGCAGTAGTCAGAAGCAGCAACAATCACTGATAGGCGGCTAGTGACGGCTAGAAGCTGCTTAAGAAACTTCCCCTTTTGCTGGGCTGAGCCTCCGCGCCATGGCCAGGCCGGGCCGGCCGGGCCGGTGCTTGTCTGAGACTCGAAATAGCCCATGGCCCTCTGCAGCCCTGCAGGAACCGGCTGAACAAAGAATGGCAGGAAGTGAAGAGGACCGGAGTCTGCGTTCCTGCAAAGAGTCTGGCATCGAACGTTTCGACACGGGCAATCGAAAAGACGGCCCGTTGCCCCTCCATACATTAGAGTCGATCACCCTGCTAGCCCCTCATTTTTCAGAGTCACGAGTGATTCATGCTGCTCTTCGCATTCTTAAGTTTCAGTCCAAGGCCCTTGTAGATGCTTTTAGCAGACCAGTACACATAGGGGGTGTGAATGGGTTGCCGAGAAGCAAGCAGGTACAAACACAACGAGCTCGTGCAAGACATACATCTACCGGCCCTGAAAACCACTTATGTCTATATGTCGTCACGTTTCTCAGGTTGAGGCCGGAAATCTGTAAGAAACATCTCGCGAAGAGTTTAGGTTTCTGCCCGGCCACTTTGGCAATGCAAGCTGTCAGCAGAACATGCGCTTTGAGAGGTGGCGGGGACAAGAATCCACACTCTGTGGGGGCAGTCGCCTTTCGTCTGAAAGTCCTCAGTCAACATGATGTGTGGGGGTTTTACATGGACGCTGTTGGAAGTGAAATGGCCATGACAAACGAAGCAGCTTATCCACATTATGACAGAGGCATAGGTTTCGCGGTGTGATCCTGTACTTGTTTTCACGGCCCACGGCCTTGATTTGCAGGAACCCCGACCCAGATATTTCTCTGGAGCTGTGGAAAGCTGAGCGCTTTTCACGAGTTGTTCAGCCGTTCAGCTTTCGATGTGCGGCCCAGTCGAGACTCCCAGGGCTGGCGACAGCTTCGAGCAGTGGCATGCGACCATCAAGGGTCCACAGGCTTGCAGACGGTCGGCTCAGGGTTTTTTCGAGAAACGCTCATGGATTTGAGGATTCACCCTATGAGGGTGGACAATTCAAGCTGGACATCGTCTGCACGGCGAACTATCCGTATGCTGCACCTCAGGCACACGGCGCACTGGCCTGTCTGTGCCTCCTTGACATCTCCTGCTCGGAGTTGGCAAAGTTCAGTTTCGCAGATTTCCCCACCAAGTGAAGTTTCATGATCCCTGAAAAGCCGCTGTTCCAAAGTTGCTAGACATGGGAAGCAGGTCTAACGGTCAAGCCGGTCAAGACAAGTCTAAGCTTGCAGGTGAGCTTTGTGACCAAGATCTTCCACCCAAACGTGAATTACAACACCGGCGAGCGGCTGCCTTGAGTCCTTGTTTCGAGCTCAGCCCGTGATGGCACGTTGTGAGGCTTTGCTTGGACATATTGAAAACAGACTGGAGCCCGGCATGGACCTTGCAGCTGCTTGCCTGGTCTGTTCATCCTAATGGGAGGTTGTATCAGCCAGACAACCTTTGCTTTGCTGAGGTATGTCTGCCGGGCTGTCATTGCCCTGCTGTCTGCACCCTAAGCCGCCCACAACCAGCACCTGCAAAAGATGGCACTGCATGTCTGAGAGCGTGTCTGCCGGTGCGCAGTGGGGGATCGTGCGATCTGAGGCGGGACCCAAACCCGGACAGTCCTCTGAACTGCGATGCCGGAAATCTCTTGAGCATGACCTGCCTGCTTGGACAAAGCATGCTATGGGCTTTCGGATTTCTTCTATGCATTCGACTAAATTTTCATTTGCCCATATCAGGAAATGGGGATCTGAGAGGATTTCGGTCGATGGCACGAATGCACGGGGCCGAGATTTTCACATTATGCCTTGGACGCTTGAGGAAGGCAGATGGTGATCATGAAGTATCTGGTGCCAGGTACACAGCTGAACATGCCATTGCCGTGGCTTGACCGGTCACACTTTCGTCGGCCACGGCCAGCCAGTTTCACGAAAGCCAGACGGCGACCCGAGAAGGTGCAGAGCCCGAGTGCACTTATCGAAAGGGTCCTGCACTTTTGCAATCCTTTGCATATCGCTGTCACGTGGTGGTTGTGGTTGGTTTGCCGACGGTCGTTTCCTCTGTTTCCGTGGTGTTGTTGTTTTGCCGCAACCCCTTGTCCGGCATACAAGAGGGTGAGCCAAGTGATATGGTCGTTGTATGTCGATGTGCAGGTGGTCCGGTTTGGAGCTGAAAGGCTGTTTTTGACGAGAAGTAAGGCTTAAGTTTTCCAATGCTTAGTCGTGCAGGTCGCTGGCATTGCAGTGCACAGCTGTACAGCTCGGCTATACGCTACAGTATCATGCTACTACTCGTTTGCAAACTTCGCTCCCTGCTGACTTGTGGGACGACGGAAATCGCCGTCTTTGCTCTCCGCGGTTGCCGCCGTGACTCTTTCAGGCGCCAGCTAGTGGTAAACGAAACACAAGCAAATCTAGCGGAACCGACGGGACAGGTTGACGTCACTGACATTTCTAGTCGGCAAGGCCTTTGTTCTGCTTTCCCCATTCTTGCTTCTGTGCCCCGACCGTTCTGACCCACCTCCCATTTGCCTTTGCGTGCCGACTATGCCGACTAAGCGTTGCTAACGTGTGTCTGGCTCTGCAAACCCGCCAAACTCGGACGGGTGTCCGCAAGCATTTCTGCTGTGGAGAGGCATTATTAACCATCGAGCATATGGACGATGTGGTTGGTGCCAGACACGCAGATACACGAGGGGTGGTAGAGTTTCAGCCTGAGCAATGATGCATGAAGTAGTCCTCGAAAGGCTTGTGCTTGATTGACGTATATCGTATTTTGGAACTTAAATTAACAAAATATTCGCAACGTGTGCCGTCGTGTCGCAAGGGCAGAGGCATGGACATCTGGGACGGCATCAGAAGAGTCGGAGTACGGTTTCTATGTCCGCTTCTGTAGCCAGCCTTGCTTAAGCCTTCGACCTCAAAGACAAAGCCCGATGGAGAGCCGTACGAGTGGTGCCAGGAGCATCTTTATGCCTCCTGTGTTACCAGGAGGTGTCATGCCTCTGAGGCCTGAGGTCGATTTCGTTCCGTCATGCAGGAGACTCGACCAGCTCATCCAAAAGCTGCATGGCAAACATGTCACAGATCAGATGCGGATTTGGGCTGAAGACGCTTGGCAAGCCGTCACCCGCTTTGGGGAGCTTTAATTGGCTTTCATTGGCAGGTTAGAACTGCGTCTTTGCTTGGGTGACTTTGCTAGAAGCCTCCACGATGCGGTTCTTCTGTTTCGCTTGAATTAATTTAAACCCAGGAAAGCTCGCCAATGATGCGGAGCTGGAGGAGTCGCTTTGCGGCAGCACTCTGCTGAGCTCTGATTCTTGGCATCGTGAACTTTGCCTTGCCTGTGTGTCCCGTACAGGCAATGCTCAGTTTGCAACTTCGGCGCTGAAAGCCCTCACACGGCAGCACCTTACATCGGTGGCCATCTATACTTTGTCACTCATGACGGACCGAAGTGTTGCGACCAACATTGCTCCTTGAAGGAATTGTTGCTCCTCCCCCATGGGAGTGGGGTCGATAGATTGTGAGGAGCTCCCTTCCTCGCCACCTGGAATGCCCACCCTAGGAGTATCCGGCTACATGCAGGCAAGCCCCGCCCGCCAAGTATGCTGCAGCGTATGCCGCAATGTTAGTGAGTTAGCCCATAAGCCCGGCCATAGAGATCCTATAGAGTGTCCCAACAGTATCAGTTGCTTTCGGAGGTTCGAGGTTCTTTTAGCCAGGGTGGCCGGAAGAGCATGTTGGCCTGCAGCCAAGGTGCACTACACAACTGTAGTATCCGCATTGGCGAAGCGATGTCTCTGGGAACTTGCGCTCAGCGTTGTAGACAGCTTTCCGCCTGGGGTCTCGGCAAATTCGTTCACCTTCAACAGCTTGATCAGCGCTTGTTCCGGCGGCAGCGAATGGATCTCAGCACTGCAAGTGCAAGAGGAAATGCGAAATCTTGGCGTCCTGCCTGACAGCATTACTGGGAATGTGATACTCAGTGCGTGTGAGAAGGGCACTCAGTGGAGCCTGGCCTTGAGCCAATGCGCTCGCGGACATTCGGATCAGGTTTCTGTGGACCCTTCTCAAACTACAATCAGATTCAATTCTGCGTTGGCAGCACTGCAAGCCTGTCAGAGCTGGGAAATGGCCGTGCTGGGATTTAACTCGATGCGATCGTCTCGTGCTTGCCCAGACGAGTACTCGTGCAGTACCTGTATCAACTCCTGCCAACATTCGTGGCAGTTGGCCGCCAAAGGCCTGGAAGGGGTGTTCAGATTAGGACTGTTTCCCAACGATGTTGTTCATGGCGCCGCTTTAAACTCATGTGAGAAGAACAGTGCCTGGTCTACGGCGTTGCAGATGTCGAAAGACATTCAGGCTAGAAGAAGTCTTGCCAATCAGTACATATACAATTCTGTCATAAGTGCGGTGGACAAGGCAGACCACTGGACACGTGCAGTGGAGCTTTTCTACGAGATGCCCCGCCACACGGCACATGATGCGGTCACCTGCACTGTGCTGATAAGTGCCTGCGGAAAAAAGAGTTGGACCTTGGCCCTCGCCCTTTTAGGGGAGATGCCTGAACGATCCATAGTCCCGACGGCTGCAACCTACAATGCAGTGCTGAAGGCGTGCTCCCCTCACGGGCTGGACACCGCCTTGAAAGTTTGGGCCACCATGACGGGCCTCAATCACCCACACTTTCCTGACGTGCTGACCTACAACATCATGATAGGCGCCTGCAGCGATGAAGGCCTCGTCGGGGAATAGGGTTGGCGCCGGAATGAGAAGGCTTCAAATAAGTCGACCCGGCAAGTGTGCCGAGTAGAACTTCGGTTGTTCGACGAAGCCGAAATGAAGGATGTGTTGACACTTGAGCCATGTTGAGCCAATGAAGCCAAGTACTGTTAGTGCAGGTAGCTATCGCTGCTAAGTTTGCAAGGCGCATGGCAGTTCGGCCTTCACTTCTTGAGCGAGATCGCTTTGCAGGGGTTGACGGCGGATGTCGTTACATTCAACTCAGCTATCAGTGCTTGCGAGAAGCTGGGACACTGGCAGGTTGCGTTGGATCTGGTGACCGAGATGCTCAGCCTTGCCGTACTTCCCAATGGTGTCACCTTCGGTGCGGCAATCAGTTCTACTGTGCAATCAAGCAAGTGGAAACAAGCAATGTACTTGTACAGCAGGCTGGTGCAAACAGAGCTGCCCACTGTGATTGCTTGCAATTCCCTGTTGGCAGCTCTGGGGTCCTCCAGCCAGTGGCAACGTTCTTTGAAGTTTCTGTCCAGCATGCCCGAGTGTGATTTGCAGGCTGACACCATCACATATAGTGAGGTGTTGACAGCTTGCCAACGAAGTTTGCAATGGCAGCACGTGTTGGAGGTTGTCCAGCTACTGCAAGGCCATTGTGCTTTAGATGCCCAAGTTTGTGCGTCGGCCATTGGTGCTTGTGCTTTGGGTGCACAAGTCGAAGACGCAGTCCGTTTTCTTGAAACTTTGTCTCAGACCGTGAGTTACGAGGCGGTAGGAAGGAGTCATGCGTTGAGCGGGGGTGCGACTTGCCTAGTTATGTTTTATTTACACTGCAAAGATTGCCATCACAGAGCCAGACAAGTTTCGGAGGTTCGACACTTCGCGCGAGAATGTCGGCGCTATTCCACGGAAACGTAGAAACTCAGAATCGGCACAATAACCGGCACTGTAAGGCAGACCGTGAATATTTGGCAACAGTAATCAGGCCCAGCCCACGAGACACCCGTCTTGCTTCTGGGGGTCGCCTGGAGAAAACGTCGCTGTCTTGCCCCACGATTCCCGCAATGTCTCGAGGTTTTCAGGTACGTTTGATTGGGCCCAAGGTTTGTGCAGGTGCAGCTGCAAGAAGCTCTCGCCTGCAGATCATTTGCAAGCAGCAGGTTGGCTTTTCTGCACAGGCACCTGCAATCGATTTGCCCTTCTTGGCTGAGGTATCTTAGACACATGTCGAGGCAGTCATATGGTCAGAAAGGGCTCGTCATTGCATGGCGCAGCAGTCCCTGCACCAACATCAGGCCGCACAGCTCACACAGAAGTTGCACCAAAAGCCTAGCCACACATGAAGGCCCCGGAAGGAAGCCAATCCCTGCCTACCAACATCGTCCCTACGTGTGGTAGTTTCAGTAAAGTCATATAGCCCGCAGATGATGGTGGCGACGGCACAGAGCAAAAATACAACATAGCTCACATCTTCCAGCCCCTACCTGCTGCTTCAAGCAGACGTCTAGCAGTGGAACTTAGCCCTGCTCATGGCCGGCACCTCGGAACCTGACTGTGACATACGAAATGTCAGATCCATGCCTAGCGCAGCACCTGTGGTTCTTATGATGCTCGAACGAAGTAAGGCTGCAGTGGAGAGGCATGCTCGCGATAGCTTGGTTCTCAGGATTTGAGCTCACCATCTCGCATTGGCTGCACTGCAGCAGGATCTTATTCTTTGCTGAGGTGACCGTCCAGGACCAAGCTGGGCTGATGCACAGGCCACAGCGACTTACGATTCAAAAAGCACAGGTTACTTGCTCCGATGTGAGAGACGTGATCCACTCGTTTAGATGCACCAAGCTGTCACTACTGTGCGCACCACTCACCACAGCATAAGTGCGGAGGATGCGGAGCTTTAGCTTCTGGTTCATTACCACTCGTAGCGGTTTACGCTGATGATGACTCGTCATAACCAGTCACCTTCGATGCTCTGCACTGTGCCTGTCTATTTTCGGGTGTAGAGGAGAGTCACCCGCTCGCATTCCGAAGATGCCGTGCATCACATCATTTCATCAGGTGATAGCTGACAGAGCCGCATCTCTGCCTGCATGATGCGAATACAGAAATGGCTGCTTGGGCCTGTTGTACAAAATCGATGAAAGTTGACACAAGTGCAAAGCGCCGAATTCATGTTCAGTCTGCGCACGCTGCTCAGATATCACAATCGGTATTCCAAAGAGTGCCCTGAAAGATCGAGTTGACCTTCCCGGTCGTCTTGTGTTGTGTGGCTGCAGGGCACTATGGAGCTGCAGATTGCATGCAGCCCAGCGTTGACAGAGACGGGAGACCGGCGTGCTTGTGGCACTTCGGCCATCCACATGAGGGTTGAGAGATTGCTGGCTGGAATGCCCAAATGCGTCCTCGTCTGAGTCTGAGGCCCACATGGAGACGCGGCTGCGAGCAGCAGTCACGGAGACCAATCAGTACGTGACGTAATCAAGTATTGTAGCCGTGTCCAGCCTGGGCATGCCTGGGTCAAAGCAGCATGATTATGGCATGATTGGATGCTTCATGTGGAGCCTGATAGTCAGGACATGCAAGTACCCCGCGCAGCTAAATTTCAGCTGTCAAGAGATGCCTCCTGCACGCCTCGCACGCGTCTCATGGCCGACCATGAGAACGAGGGGATCAGATTGCGTGGTGAGAGATCACTGGGCTCCAGGACGGGAAAAGAGGGCCCCGCCCCTGCCAAAGATCATAACAGCTCACGCAGGGCATGCTTTTTGGCCATGTGATGCTTGTCCGATGTGCAGCAGCTTCAGGAGCTCTCGCCAAACACCTCAGGATGTTCTCGTCGCCGATGCAGATCGCGCCGAGCGACTCTTGTGCAGAACTGGAGTTTGTGTTACGACGGACTCGTGTCTTTGCCATCTTCGCGCATGCCATTGAACTGGTTATTTTCCTTCCCAGCACTCCCCCCACGGCTTCAAGACCTGTGCTAGGTTACTGGTGGTGCTGACAGAAGTATTGAAGTACAGTAGGGATCCATGAACACTCGGCTGGTCGTGCATCGGTTGTAGATTTTACCCTGCCTCCTATGGTCCTTAGCTATGTCTTTACGCGACGCTTACTCGGCCCAAGTCCCCATTGGAAAAGGTCCACAGGGTTGACTTACCGGTACCTAGCCGTGCTAAGCTGCTAGCCTGAGAATCTTCAGGTTATCAGCCGTAGTTTGCTCCGTCATGGATATAGTGCCGTTCGTAGCGGCCACGGGCAACAACGGTGACGGTGGTTTTGGTGGTAGACAGGAACAAGAGGCCAACGTCAACCAATCTATCGTAATGCTGCTCCTCAGAAACAAGCCTAAACTGACACTCGTTTTCTTCCCACTGAAGTTTCTCCTCAAACTCGGACCCCAAGAAAGCTATGAGTTCACTATGGTTTTCATCGATGCTCGCACGCATTTCCGCGAAACGGTGTTCGTACTGTCTGTTCTCGGCAGTGAGCGTGCGTGCTGCTGCTTCCAGCTCGGATCGATGTGCATCAAACTGCAAAGCCATAGACCTTTCATCATGACTTTCCCTTTGTGTGCGTGCCAGCTGTGCCTGCAGCTCGTTTGCTGTGTTTCGTTCTGAACGGGCGATGGACTCAAGCACTCGTACTTCATTGTGAAGTTGCCCAACCAGTAGGTGTGTTGATTGGCTCACGAATGCCAGCTGCTGGCGGTGGCTCGCATCCGCTGTTGCTTCTAGGTGTTGGATGTAGGCGTTGGCTTCGGAGTACACGTTGTCCAAGACAAAGCGGTGTCTCTGTTCTGCGCGAAGCTCTAACGCACTCTGGATGCGGGGGTCATTCAGGAAAACATTGACCTGATTGTTCTCCTGCAACAACTGCAGGAAGTACTGGACCTGCAGGATCGGAACGCTGAGCTTATGGCTGAGGTCGACTCCCTAAGGGCTGTCTTGTCGACAGCAGAGAGTAGCCCACCGCAAGGTGGTGCCGTGCCGGTGAAAGTCGATCAAAGCGATAGCTCGAAGCTTCAACCAAGCCCACCGCAAGGTGGTGCCACTGCGCCGCTTGTTCAGGGTCCTAGCAGTTCATGGTTCCCTACCCTTCCGAACCCCAGGGAAGTTCCGCCTTCGCTTCGGACTGTTCTGGGAAGAACCCAACGGTTTGACATTGGTGAGCCCGAAGGTTCGAAAGGCCCCGGCGTAGAGGCATCGAATGCTGAACAGAATGACAACAAAGAACCGGCCAACACCTCAGAGAACAAAGAGCCGAGCATGATCCTCGCTGAAGCACTCAAGTCAGTTATCCAGAAGCCTGATGATGACAAACCAAAGGCTAAGGAAGCTGAGACTGTGAAGCTACCCGACTTCCCCAACCCGGAGACTTACAGGAGTTGGAAGATCACGGTTAGGGAGGCAGTCCGGGCGGCATCGGACAAACCCGATGAGGCATTCAAATGGGTTCAAGAGGTTTACTCGAGGGACGCTGATTCGGAGAAGTTGAGGGACACTGGCAAATTCCTCACTTTGGACACGAAAATCCTTTCGGCACTTTCGCGAGTTGCCAGGGGTGATTTGGGACGACAGATCATTAACTACAAGGAGTCTGAGGCAGCTGCGGGTAGAGCGGTTCGTGGTAGACAAGTTCTGCTGATGTTCGAACACTACTTCAAGACGAATGAAGAAGCAGGATCCTTCTACTCAGTAGAAGACCTTCTCAAAGTCCAGCTGAGCGGCGATGACCTCAGTACCTTCATACACAACTGGGAATCGGTCATTGCAGGATTGAACCATCAGCCGGAGGAAACTACTTTGAGAGAAATTCTACTTCGTCAGCTTCGCAACTCAGGAAAGCTCAAGTTTGATCTGGAAGTCTACGACAGGGCTAAGGAGGGATCAGAACAACGCACTTACGACTACCTGGTCAAATGCGTTAAAGAGCTGTTGGCTATAGGGATAGAACCCGCAAGAACAGAACAGCAATCGCCAAAGCTCACGGCGCCAGGTTCGGTGCTCCTGCTCCTTCCGATGCCCCGAACACCCCTCGCGGTAGAAGCCAGGATAAGCCCTGCTATGCATTCCAGCGTGGCAAATGCCCACGAGGTGACAAGTGCCCTTACAAGCACGTGAAGCCAGATCAGACCAGGGGCAGGACACCCCCACGAACCCCTTCGAGAAAAGGTGGAGGTAAAGGCGGCAAAGGCGGGGATAAGAAAGACACTTCCAAGATTCCGTGTATCTTCTATCCCAAGGGTACCTGTAAAAACGGGAAGAATTGCCCTTTCATGCACAAGGACGCCAGCCCCTCTGTCCCGGCCAAGGGAGACAAACCTGACAAGAAGCGATCGCCTTCCGGCAAGCGCAGGCGCCCTAGCAAGAAGAGGACCAAAAGCGAGGACAAGACAGCAGCGTGTTGCCTTTCCCTCGCAGCCACCCTCACGGGTGAGCCCTCGCTCAGTGCTGGGAAGTCCTACGCAGTAGCAGCCCGCAAGGGCCATGCCGTACAGTCGAAGACCAAAAAGGTCCAGTTCCTGAGGCCAGAGATCATTGACATTCCACTTGTTGGTGAAGGTTGGAGGTTCGTCACAGAAAAGCGCAAGTACGATTTCAGATACAAGAAGACGGACCAGTGCCCATCATCGATCCCGGAGGACACCGAAGAAGCCTTGCAGAACGCCCGCCACTTGGAATGGGCAGTGAACGGTATGAGGCTTAAGGTCCGGGTTAAGTGCAACTACAGGTGTCGGGGTAGAGAAGGATTCTGTACGCACTGCAAAGAAGCCATTCCCCTGCCCCAACTTGCTGCAGCAGCGGTGACAGGTGAAAACCTCGAAATCATCGCAGACGCCGGTAGCGAGGAAGACTTGATTAGTCACTCTGATTTGGAGGCCCATTTCAAGGGCAAGGCTAAGAAGGTTGCTTCCAACCCAGTGAGTTTGATCACTGCTAATGGACCAGTAGACGCTGAGACGAAGCACGAGGTCTACATCGAGTCATTGAGGAACCCATTGCAATTCGTTGAGCTCCCCAACACACCTGCAGTTTGCTCTGTAGGAAAGAAGTGCATGGAACAGGGATTCTCTTTCCACTGGCCTACGGGTGAGGCACCATATTTCATTTGCCCAGACGGCCAGAAGCTCATTTGTCAACTCCGAGGCAATGTCCCCGTATTTGGCGACCGAGGACCATTGATGGCATGCTTAGCAGCAAAGTCCTCAGAATCAGATGGCAGTAAGGTTGCACCGACCTCTGTCAAGTCCGGTTCGGGTTTTCGGTAAATAGCTGCCCGCAAGGGCAGGCCGCACCAGCAAAAGGAGAGCATGAGCATGAACCTGAAGGTCCAGCTGGCGCGGCAGAAGATGCCATCGAAAAGATGGCGAATTGTATTCCTCCCATTCCTGGGGTGGAAACAAGGCAACTGCTAAAGGCAGGTTGGACGGTCATCAACGGCAGCCCCGCTGCTAAGGTGGCTCATTTCCCAAAAACATTTCGAACACCGGCTCCTAAGTTCCCGAGGTACAGAACCCGGACTACTTGGGGATTCAAGGATGACGTGTGGTCTTTGTTGGAGGATTCGGTCAACATTGACGAATTGGACGGGATCTATGGGGAAGTACCTGAAGGGACTATTGCAACGATTACATTGTTTGCTTTGCCTGAAGGGGAAGTGGAGGCGCAAGCCGACAGCGATGTCGAGCCATACACAATGCCAAAGTCTAAGAAGGATGAAGCTTCCTTGAGGGCTGAGGCTGTGTCGTTGGAACATCGACTTACCCATAGGCCAAAGAATCCGTTCTGTCCCATTTGTCAAAGGGCCAAGATGTATGCGCCACAGGCGCGGAAATCTGGTGGATCCTCTACTATTTACAGCAAATCGTTCGGTGACCACATCACGGTAGATCATATTGTGACTGCTGATGCCAAGGATTACGGGTTCCAAGAAGAAACCGTTGCTCACGTGGTGAAGGATGTGTACTCTAAGTTTAGATACGTGTATCCTTCTAAGACAAAGTCTGGTGAACAGTGCTACGAAGACATGTTGCACTTCCTTGGTACAGATGATGAGGTAAAGGTTATATATTCCGACAATGCGTTGGAGTTTGACTTTGCGGCCAGACAGCTTCGCGCTCGTCACAACACTTCAAGGGAGTACGTGAACGAAAACAAGGCCGTAATCGAACGAGAAATCAGAACCATTTTGGAAGGCACACGGGCCAATCTAGTGCAATCAGGACTTCCAGATCGCTACTGGCCTCTTGCATCGCAACATCATGCTATGTGTCTAAACATTACCCCAAGGATTGACAATGGTCAGATTCCGTGGGAAACCAGGTATGGTGAGAAGTTCAACGGCATGCGCATTCCCTTTGGTGCGAAAATCCTGTACTGGGCCCCAAAGAAGCAACGCAAGCCTGAACGATCCAAGTTTTCTGGCACAGGGATTGAAGGTATATTCCTCGGGTA